TATACATATATATATATATGTATATATATATATTATATATTAATCTACATGTATATATATGTAATATATATATATATATATATATATTTATATTTATTTAGATGTATTAAAGTTTACTGCATGCGCTACATTTGTTTGTCTTCGGCGGTTTGGCTGTAGAGAAGAGAAGCAAAGTACTCCGACTAAATAAAGAAACCAAACCCTAAACCCTAAACCCTAAAAAGGCATGCATGCATGTATACAATTTGCATATGTGGTATCTACAGCCCTAGCCATACACTAAACCCTAAACCCTAAACCCTAAAATATGCTGCCCTGCAGCTGCAGAGGAGAGCAGTGCTCTCTAAGCAGCTCTCAAACCCTAAACCCTAAAAAATTAGGGTTTAGGGTTTGCGGTTCTATGCCTTGCAATATCTGAACCGCGAACCCCATCCAATTTGAATCTTTAACTCGCAGCAGCAACAGCAGCAGCAGCAGCAACAACAGCAGCAGCAGCAGCAGCAACAGCAGCAGCAGAAGCAGCGGCAGCAATACATTTAGTATATAGACGCCGCTTTGTTGTCTCTCTCCTAGAACTAAGAGCTAGACAGCTAGCCGAAGTGCTAGATACTTTAATAGCTAGCTAGGTAGCTAGCTAGCTAGCCAGCAAATGGGCATATATTAGGCGAGCTAGTTATTTGGCTAGGTAGACAGTTGCTAAGTGAATAGCTAGCTAGCCAGCTAGCTAGACGGTTCGCTAGCTAGGTAGATAGGCAACTAGCTAGCTAACTATATAGTTAATTGGTTAGCTAGATACGTAGCTAGCTAGACAGCTAGCTAGATAGATAGGTAGTTGGCTACCTAGTTAGATGGGTAGCTAGCCAGATAGATAGTTAGCTAGACAGCTAGCTAGCTAGCTACCTAGCTAGCTAGCTAACTAGAGGGTTGACTAGCGAGGTATTAAAAGGCGGGGAGGGCCCCACAAGTCAGTCGTTGAATAACCCAACAGAATTCGCTTACAAGGAGACAGCAAAAGGAGACAGATAAAAAGAGACAGATGAAAGGAGACAGATAAAAGGAGACAGATAAAAGGAGACAATGAGGTGGAGAAGGAGACAGAAAGGATACACCTAAACCCTAAACCCTAAACCCTAAAGGTGTATGCCTCCGTTCTGTCTCCAATAAAAAGCCAAGGATAGACAAAATGACACAATAAAGACAGACGGAGACACCAAACCCTAAACCCTAAACCCTAAACCCTAAACCCTAAACCCTAGCACCATAATGTGCAAGCACCGGTTTTATCTGCAGTGAACAGCCAGGGGGCCGACGAGTGCCAGCAGAACGACAAAACCCCTCCTCCTGTCTTATTGTCTTTACAAACCTAAACAAAAACAATAATCGCAGCAGCAAGCATCAAGCATCAAGCGTTTATTTATATCTCTCTACTTCTATGTTTATACTCGTTACTCATACTATACCAGACGAAAAATACCTAGCCAGAGCTAGCTAACTTTACAGCATAGCTAGCTAGATAGCTAGCTTAAGAGCGCAGTTAGCTAGTTAGTTAGTTAGTTAGCTAGCTAGCTAGCTAGCTTAAGAGCGCAGTTAGCTAGTTAGTTATTTAGCTAGCTAGCTAGCTAGCTTTAGAGCTTAGTTAGTTATTTAGCTAGCTAGCTAACTAACTAACGAGCTATGCGAGACAGAAAGCGAGGTAAGCTGCCTTGGGGTCCAACTACTCCTTCCCACACCCTAAACCCTAAACCCTAAACCCTAAACCCTAAACCCTAGAGTAGACGGAGTAGTTTACCTTGAGGGTTTTGACTGGAACGAGCAAAGGGTTTGTAATAAGGTCGTCATACACCCGACAATGATACACCTGAACAGTGCTGCACCCACAACAAAACCCCCAAGCAACAACACCCCTAAACCCTAAACCCTAAACCCTAAACCCTAAACCCTATTCCCCGCTTGCTCGAGTATTCTTAACTGCTGCAGACGCTATCCAGTGACAGCTGAGAGCACCGGGTTCCCGGTGCGCCCAGCTAGTAGGGTTTAGGGCTTAGAGTTTAGGGTTTAGGGTTTAGGTACCCGTCAAGAGAGGCGGAGGCCATTAGAGGCAAAGAGGGGTGGAAGTGTGCTGCAGTAATAGAATGTTTATGAAGTCTAAAGACTTTATAAACCCTCTTTGATAATTCTAACTCAAAAAAATATAATTTGCTGTTCTCGCTGCCCACCAACAACTGAGACCCGCTCGGGTGTATACACACCGAACTCACGTTGTCCACACCTACACACAAACCCTAAACCCTAAGCCCTAAACCCTAAACCCTAAACCCTAAACCCTAAAACCATTAACCATCAAACCCTTAACCCCAAACTCTAAAACCCTTTACCATCAAACCGTAAACCCTAAACCCTAAAATTCTTAACCATCAAACCCTTAACCCTACACCCTATAACCCTAAACCCTATAATCCTAAAACCCTAAGCCCTGAACTCTAAACCATCAAACCCTTAACCCTAAACAATGAACCCTAAAACCCTAAATGGTAAGCAATAAACCCGTAGAGAGAGAGACCCTAGACCCTAAACCCTAATCCAGCCCTCAACCCTAAACCCTAAACCCTAATCCAGCCCTCAACCCTAAACCCTCAACCCTAAACCCTAATCCCTCAATCCTAAAGCCTAAACCCCAAACCCTAAACCCGGAGAGATAAACAGTAAACCCTAAACTAAAACCCCTAGAGCATAAAACACATACCCCTAAACCCTAAAACATAAACCATCAACTCTACACCCTCTAACCGTAAACCATAATCCTCAAACCCGTAGAGGTAAACCCTAAACCCTAAACCCTAAACCCTAAACCCTCACCGATGAGTTTCTTAAGAAGGGCTTGTCTCTTTCCTGGTACCCCCACAGACTGTTGTTTCGCAGACAAATCGTAAATCCTGCGCAACCTCAAACACTAAACCCTAAACCCTAAACCCCAAACCCTAAACCCTAAACCCTAAACCCTAAACTGACGCCTCACCCCCTAAATCCTATCCCCCTTGCCCTTCACCCCTAAACCCTAACTCTTCCCACCCCTGCCCCCCAACCCCGCTCCATAAACCCTAAACCCTAAACCCTAAACCCTAGACCGTACCGCAAGCCTCGGGTGTATGCAACAACAAGCCAGGGTTGTTTAGGGTGGAAGGCTGCGTCTTTAAGAGGTCCTGGGCCCCCTCGTTTTAGCGGTTTGATTGTTTTTTGTTTTTTTATGTTATGAATTAATAATTGCAGAGAAGGCGAAGAGCTCCCGGGGCAAACAGACGCCAAATAATTACCTAACAAACAACACAAACCAAATAGGGTTTAGGGTTTAGGGTTTACGGTTTACGGTTTAGGGTTTAGGGTTTACGGGGTTTAAAGGGTTTATTAGGGTTTACGGTTTATTTTACCCGTTTACGGGTTCTGCATGGATTAGGGTTTAGGGTTTACAGGGTTTGAATGGTTTAGGGTTTAGGGTTTACGAGCTTGGCATGGATTAGGGTTTAGGGTTTAGGGTTTAGGGTTTTGAGAGGAAAAAGAAAGATAAAGAGACAGCAAAATAAACAAAAGGAGACAGCAAAATAAATAAAAGGAGACAGCAAAATAAGCAAATAAAATAAACAAACAAATAAAAATAAAAACAAACAAAGAAGAAGTTTATTAAAGAAGACAAAGCAAACAAACGAAGAGACAAAAACAAACAAAAAGACAAAAGGAGACAAACAAACAAACGAGGAGACAGATTAAAAGGAGACAGATTAAAACGAGACAGATTAAAAGAGACAGTTAAAAGGAGACAGTTAAGAGGAGACAGTTAAAAGACAGATAGAAGATAAAAGGAGACAGATAAAGGAGACAGACAAATTAAGGAGACAGACAAAGGAGACAGACGAAGGAGACAGACAAAGGAGACAGATAAAAGACAGATAAAAGACAGACAAAGGAGACAGACAAAGGAGACAGATAAAGGAGACGGCATAAACTATATACCTTTCTGCTGCCACTTGAGTTGCAGTATAGGGGCGCTGTGCATTATAAACACCGCGCGTTTAACTCCTCTCAGCAGCAAAGTAAGTTCATGAGGCTCCTCTGGCTGCTGCTGCTGCTGCTGCTGTTGCTGCTGCTGCTGCTGCAGCTCTTTTGCTGCTGATTTTGCTGCTGCTTTTGCATGCCTTGTTGAGACCTGCTGCCAGCAACCCACCAATTTGCTGCCTACTGTCGCCTCTACAACGTACGGGTCGTTGCTGCTGCTGCTGCTGCTGCTGCTGCTGCTGCTGGTTGTCTCTGCTTCAGCAGTGTGCAGCAAGTCCGGCAGGTCTTCATTTGCTGTAGTGCGCAGCAGCAGCAAATCGAGTGCCTCTTCAAGTAATGCTCTAGCGTTTGTTGCTGTTGCTGCTGCTGCTGTTGCTGCTGCTTCCCCCTCTGCAGCACCTCCCTCCATTTTGTCGGCTGCTGCTGCTGCTGCTTCTGTTGCTGCTGCTGCTGGTGCAGCAGCAGATCTCTTCTTTTTAGCAGGAGCTGCTGCTGCAGTTTCAGCAGCAGCAGCAGCAGCATGTTGCTGCAGCGATAGTTCATCACAGATAGGGGTATCAAGTACGAGGAGCAGCAGCTGTTCTGCTGCAGCAGCAGCAAGGATTGGCAGCCTAGGATGAAATGCAGCAGCAGTAATTTGCTGCTGCAGCAGCAAAGCAGCAACTATGCGGCCTGAAGAAACTTCAAATATGCGCAAGCACCCGTCGCTGCTTCCAGCAGCAACAAACAAACCGGAGGAATCTGCAGCAACAACTCGAACGCTAGCACCAGCAGGACCCAACAAATTCATTCTGCTGCTGCTGCTGCTGCTGCTGTTGCTGCTGCTGCTGCTGCTGTTGCTGCTGCTGCTGCTGT